TATATTATACGAGATAATGTACATACATGTATTACTATTATGATTATTACGTTTTATGCGTCCATCGACACGATTAAATTGCAGACTATATGATCCCTTGGTGGTCCAAAATCGATAAGAGTAGGCTTCGGCCGCCACCCGAGCAAAATTCAAAATTAATTCCTACCAAAACTGTAAATGTTTGTGTCCGGCGCGCTCATATGACTATGACCTAACGCAGTTGCAAGCGCCGTAAAACACTTACCGAAAACAAAAACACAAACAACACAATTAGCCCCGTTCAAGAGGCGGGAGGATTTGACCCAGGAAAACACAGCCAACTCCAACTGAGTGAGATACACTCTCATACAGCAGAAAGACGCAAGTACTCGTTAACCCTTTACAGATGTAGCGGGCATGTATGTCCGACAGCACAACAAAAGCTATGTTGAGGCACATTTCGAGATATATACTGCACAAATCGGTAACACAAATCCTCACGTTAATTCGTAGTATGCGTGTTGTTTTAGAAAAATCGAATGTTAAATTCTGTATGAATAGCGAAGTGATTATGCTTTTTGTTTATTAGAAAAAAACTAAACTAATTTAAGATTATATTTTTCAAATTTGAAATGCCCCAAAACAGTGCGTCTTCAAGCGTTGTTGAAAAACCAAAATGCGGGTTCACAACGAGTTAAAATAAACTTATTACTTGAGAATAAAGCACAGTTCTTTCGCACCAACGACAACGAGTTACACTACGGACAGCAGTTCTTTGCAACAGAGTTTGAAGAGTTTTCGAGTTTAGTGAAGTCCTTCCACAAAATCAAACTGATAATTCAGGACATTTAATTAGTAATATTTATTTTTAATATATTCATACATGTCATCATTATCATTGCCTTTTTCACCCTGAATCAGGATATAGGCCACGAACAAACACTTTCCACCTTTCCCTATCCTGGGCGAGTCGCTTGATACCACTCCATGTCTTCCCACCTTTCTGTACATCCATTTCCGCGGCTCTTCTCCAGGTTCCACGTGGTCTTCCCCTTGATCTTTTACCCTGTGGGTTCCAGTCTAACACTTTTTGGTATGCAGCTGCGTGACTTCCTGAAAGTGTGTCCAATCCATCGCCAACGCCTTCTTTCCACCTCATCTCTGACTGGGCTCTGTCTCGTTCTTCTTAATACTTCCTCGTTGGTGATCTGGTCTGTCCATCTGCTCCTCAGCAGCTTCCTCAGACACTTGTTCAAGAAAACCTGGATCATCTTTATGCACGTCAGAGATGCGTTCCATGTCTCACATCCATACAACAGGACTGACTTCACATTTGAGTTGAAAATCCTCAGCTTTGTTCGTAGTGAGACATCCCTGGTCTTCCAAATCCTGTCTGTGCCTTTACAATACAGGGCTTTATTTCAACGCCTGTTCTTCCCCTGCTTTCTTAAATTATACTCCCAAGATAACAGAAGGATTTGACGTCTTCTAATACATTCATACATGTACGCACATATATAAATAACGTGTATCTATGTATGTTTGTTGTACATGTACATTACGTGTGTACTTCAGAGTGTACGGGTGTGTGCTTTTGGACCTTCACAGGTGGGTGCGTGTGTAGTTCCATGTAGTTTCCAATATCTTGTAAAGTGTTTATCAATTTCAAACCATGTATTTCTACTTCTTTATACTTTTTCTACCTTTCATAAGAAAAATAAACAGAGATATAATTTGCCGTCTGTAATTATTGGCAGTTTTATTTTTTAAAATCCTGGCTGAATAAGAAGTCGGTAAGACAACGGGAACATTTCAGCAGGAACAGATCTTACTTTTAGTAAGTTGTACCCCAATAATTAAGACTAGCATAAAAGCGCCCGAGAGTGAAGGTGTTACTGAAGAGTAACACACAAATACAAGAAGGAAAAGATATCAGGGCAACAGACCTCTGATAGGACAGCAGGAGCAGAGATTAAATTGTAGCATAAAAGAAAGAGATTAGGAAAAATCAGAAAGATAACACCTAAAATAAGTAGAAGGAGAAGACTACACCACAACAACCCCTACCACGTACCCGTCCTTTCCACCTGACAGTACATTGACCATCTCAAAGTAAACACAGGCAGATGGTAATACAGTGCAGCCTCCCTATAACGACCTTCGATATAACGACATCCACTGTAAAGAGACATGGTGCCCGGTCCCGATTTGTTCCTTATATGATAAGTGATATTTTGGTTGCCTCTCTATAATGACAACGCTTTATAACTGCATTTTTTTTCTGGTCCCGACGATGTTGTTAAAGAGAGGCTACACTGTAAAAGATTTTGATAGCCTTCAATGAAATCACCAACAAGAGACAGATCGGATACTTTTTGCTCCAGAAATTTATTGCATTAAAAATACATTGGGAATTGTCCGGTCAACTCAAAGAAATACGCCATGAGAAACCTTGCCCAAAAATCCTGGTCCAACTTCTTCAATAATATTATGAAAGGGCAGAAAGACAGTCTCAATGGAACATAAGAAAATATAGTGACTTGAAAAAAAGAAGAAGTCATTTTGAGAAACACAGTGGAGCACTTCAAGCGTAGTTGAGACGTCTTACATGTGGTGACTTGACCATAAAGTGTCTGCACAGTCCACAGAGGACTGGGTTCAAACCTTTCAATTTTGTCAGCTTTAAAACAGTAAAAGAATATAGGGCAATCAGAGCCTAAAGTTTGAAAGTTGCAAAACTGTATAGGCTTATCATACATTTCAACACAGTAAGGTTATTTAAAAAGCAGGACCTCCGAATTTAACATCCATTTCCGACATGGTCAAGCCGAAGGGGTGGAGAGCCTTAAAAACTCCATAAACATATGCAAGTTCAGCACACCTTGTTGGGGTTTACAACTAGGTCCATATGCTCCGTAGTCCAACATGAAACCAACTTATAACGGAATGCTCACCCTAAAATTTGAGTTTTATTTCCCTTTCAAAACAACAGGGGTACTGCATCAGGCAGGACATCGGTAAAGTTAATCTCAGACAGGACACTGACTACATGTTGGACAGATATAAATATTCTCTGAGCAAACAAAAAAAACAGAAAAAAAACCCATTTGAGGTGGGATTCAAACCCAAGTTGCTCGCACTGTAATCACCAGTACAATTCAGTGGAGCTAAACTTTGTTCATGCTAAGATAAAATCAGAACTGAATAACAACAGTACTTACCAACATACATGTGTCTTACATTACTTACAATGCCCATATCATTATACATGTGCAGCATGGTATGCGGACGGAATGAGGCATATCTGGATATATATTATATGTATAAACAGTTCACAGGTCTTGAAAAACAAAGTAAATACAATGCAGTAAGTATTTTGAGTACAATGATGAGCATAAAGAAACTGACGTTGAGACTTACTCCACAGCAGGAATCTCCATGACTGCCTCATCTCTAACCCTACATGAGCAATGACATGTAAACTATGCCACACACACAGACACACACCTTTGAAAGTAAATCTCTACAGCAGCTGACAAGAAGTACTAAAGTATGATGGCCATGATGTTTTCTGAAGTCAACACTGCTTATTGTCCTTTATGACGAAACCCAACACAGTCATGAGTCAAAGGAATTCTCCAACAGCTGCCCAAAGTATCAACAATGGCTCAATTAAAGGTGAAATATTTTCGTCCTCCTTATTCTATATATAACAAAATATGGACTAAATCACAGAGTATAGCAGAATGGTATGAAACAGAAACAGAAACAAAACACTTTTAGAGAAACACGCGACAATGCTTCATTGTGATATCAGTGAGTGTGAGTGCAAAAGTACACACACACACACACACACACACACACACACACACACACACACATGCACGCATGTGCACATGCAAACACACACACATATCTACATACATATTCACATGCAAATATGAATATGACACATCATGAAATACAAGACAAGACAAAACACCCACACAAACAAACACAATAAAGGAATACATTTTCATAAATAATTTACAAAGCAGCAGTAGAAAACAAAAAAATACAGCCTCCTTACTGAAGTTTCACATTCACTCATTCATTGCCAAATTCTGACAGTAGAAACATACACATTTCATTTCACTTGAGCAGTACATCAGTGATGACAGGTGATTTATACATTACATCAGTCGTAACACGTTAAGTACAAATATTTAACATGTTTCATTTTGTTATTGATGACTTGTAGGACAATTGGAACGCATATATAGAAAGATCATAAAAAGTATTTGCTTTTGTTTCAACAGTCTGGTTGTCAATGCTGAAGTGCAGTGCTCAGCTTTATGCAAAATATTTATTTCGAAGGAGTAGTAAAGTAACTACGACTAGGCACAAAGGCTGAGAAAAATTATTTCAGGAAGGACAAGAAAAATTCAAATCACAACCATACAAGCAAGTAATTACAAAGCATTGAAGCCGAATGTGCCACAGGAGCCCTTGAAGATTTGACTTTCATTGACAAACATAAGGAAACTACTACTGTATCTATCTTTCAAAAACTCAAGACAATCACACAAAAAACTGATACTAAAAGAGTTTGCAACAGAACAAACTCACTGGCTTTATGGTATGGTACAGGTTTTACCCTCCTTATAAACAGAAAGATCATTTAAGAGGTGGGACCACTGAATTAAAAGTCCATCTACATTAAAATTGAGCCAAAAGGGGTGAGAGTGTTGAAAGAGTCTTACAGACTCACAAAACAAACCAAGTCCAAACAATGGCCAGTCACGTTGAGGATTCAAACCAGGCGAACTGGCCTCAAATATTCTGTGAGCTGCTAAAGAGAAGGAAATCTATACAACTGAACAAGAGCCATGTGTAGCATATTCATCGGTAATAGAGATTTGGCAACAGAATCTTACAGGAATGTTAACAATTACAATCCCATACATAATACTCTTACAAACAAGTAAAGATGTGTCACGGTAAGTTGTAAGTACTAGGCTGAAGAACAGGAGAAACTAGTTATGGAGCTACTGGCTGGACTTGAAGGAATGTCAGAGTATGGAGATGAATGATGTAGGTACCAAGACTTTCATTAAAACATATCTAGAACATTTTGCAGGCACTATATTTAGCAAAATGTTTTGCCAGATTTATAATAAATTCTTCACTTGAAACAGGAGAGAGATGAGCGCACTGTGCAGTGCAGATTGTACTTGGCAATTATTGCTAGAAAAATATGCAGAGAAAAAGCAGCTTATCCCAGTATAAATGTGGAGTCGAAGACAACACAGAACTCACAGAAGCAGTGCAGTAAGATATTTTTATTATGACAGTGATTTTTCTTACATTGTTAGATATAAAACACAGATCCCAGCTGGAAAAACAGACCAGCAATACCCTAAAAGAAATAGAACAGAAATCTACAAAGTAAATTTTCAAACAGGGCAGCTGGTGGGACAAGAAAGCAGTGTGATCAAATCTTGTGCGTCTTAAATTCATTCTTTGAATATGAGTAAAATCTTCATCACTTTATCATATACTGTATGCTGTACTCAACAGCTAAAGCATGACAAGGACAAAGCTATTATTATTATATATCATTGAAAAATGTGCTCAAACATAAGAGAAGAACTAATAACCTATGCCGGGACAGCATAAACTCGAGTCTTCACAACTTCAATATCTTGTTGTGGATTCAAAATACCATTGGTGTAAACATAGAGAACTTGAAGAGAACCAGGAACCATTTATTTGAGCCCACATCATTCCAATTTCGAATAGTCTGAAAAAGAAGGAAAAAATATATGTGGCAATAAATTTGAAGGAAAACTTTCTCAAACTATACATGATAACAGATTATACTAATGGCAACAGATATTTTCCCTTGGTGACATCAGTTATTTCACTGAGGATATGCACTTTTTTTATTTGTATTTTTTTTCGCCCAGAGAGCCACCTTGTAATATGACACACTACTTGGCTTCTTATCTGACAGCACAAGTTTTTTGCCCAAACTCTCAAAACAAAGGCATTAAACATAACTGGTATCAGGGTACCAGACAATTTAAATCCCATCTTACAAGGCAATACATTGCACAATACACAGAAATAATTCCGGTTAAGATTTTAATATAACAGAAGCTCAAAGCAAAAATGAGACCAGCAATTAAACATATACAAATGAAACATGAATTCATTAAATCTCTGTTTTCAAATCCCTGTCTTGCACCCCATGAAGTAAGTGTATTCTAGCATTCTAGCATTTAAAAAGATTATGTAATTCAGTAACCAAATAGAAAGATAGACGTAATTTCTTTTTTTTTAAATTGTACTCTTTGTCACACATATGAGACATGAACCTAAAAAATGACAATCTTACGTCAAAGACTTTTTAAAAATTGCAGTATGCAGATTTAAATTAAGATACATTTTGTTTAAGTTTCTGTTTGCTTTACAAGAACAAACAGACTAAAGGAAGTTTCAAAGAGCTGCTGCAACAAATGTAGAAATGGCAGTTATCTTTGAACAAACTAGTCCTCCTCTCATTTTCTAGGGAGTCTTGAAAAAAAATATTGTAAAATAAAAATCTTGGCCACATACAGCTGGTGTGAAGTGCACGGTGCATTGTTGAGGAACCTGCTGGCCATGGGTGTAAATCTGTTCATCCCATATAACCCGATGGACCCAAGTACACAAATGAGCCAGACTATCTTTACCCCTCTGGGCATCAAACACACACCTCAGTGTATATCCAGCACTCTACAAAAAGAAGCACAGATCCTGAGTTTTCGGGTGGTGGAGGTGCGGTGGGGTGGGGGGATGGAGAGGGAGGTAGGGTTGGGAGGATGGAGGTGGGGTAGGACTTAATGGATTAATCCTTATGCTGAAATACTGATATACTGCTGAAAAAGTCTTAAACTTGAATACTTTGTTTAATTGTGCAAAATTGTATTGATTTAATGCCCTTTGCAAGACAGTAAAGTTATTTAAGAGGCAGAAGCCTGCAACCATACCGATGAAAGCTAGCAAGCCCAAAGGGAAAGCCAATAAATGGTAAGGAAGCTTAGGAAGAATGGGCTAGATCATCAGTACTCACACCAAACTGGCAGCATAACAGCTAGCAGGCTAGCACTTGAAGGGCTTCCTGCCAAACGATGAGACAGAGGATGAGATGCTGCTGGACCTGCCTGCTCGAGAAGCCTTGGACAATCGACCTGAGGGTACAAGTGATCGAGTTAAGCTATGACATACACCAATGTCATAAACTTATAAATTGACTTGATAGTAGAGGGCCATCTTTTGAGTTACAGCACAAACTGACAGTGGTACAGGAAAAAGAAAAGCGAATGACATCAGGGTTGCAGGCTATAATGATATGTCACAACGCATACTGAATATGGCAAAGAAAAAGAAAGAACTCAACTGACCTTAAGCACATTAACATAATAACAATTATCTAGTGCTAGAAAGAAAGCACTTTGGCACAATAACAGTCATTAAGAGCTAGGAAAGACGCTAAACTGAAAACCAGAAACAACAGAGGTAGAATTAAGAAGGCCATACCACTCGGGCTGAGAGGGATGCAAAATCCCAGCAGAAAGACACAGATACTCGACAAGAATTCTCCCCATGAGAATTGAACTGGGTCTCATGCCTGCGATAGCCAAGGACAGTCCTCGCGTCTCACAAGTCATGACGAACATCGTAAGTCACAGTAGCATCTTGGCTCATACGTCGAGTAAGAAAAAATGATGAACGGCGTACGTCATAAAGGTCAGGAAGGGGTTAATGTTTAACTGGTCTTTATTCCATTTTATATTCCTGTGACCATCTGCTGTTGAGTTTCAGTAAGTCGATGTCATAGGTGTCTTGTTTGGTGGTTGGAGGGTGCCACTGGTACGGCCTTCTTAATTCTACCACTGAACTGCTACAACAGAGACTCTGGGAAAGAAATCATTATCAATATTCACAGACAAAAGACAAAAATGTTTGAACATGCAGAACAAGTATGATGTCAAGATTTAATGTGAAAACAAATTTGCTTAAATCAAGAAAGAGGAAAAAAAAGTTTTGCTGCTGCAAAGGGTGAGTGAAAAAGACGTACTTCCAGTACTGCGGTCTGACAGTGCCCCATCCAGGTGGATACAGAGTTTGTCAATCAAGTCTGGTGTGAAGTATTCAATGTCTGCTGGCACTCTCGGAGTAGTTTCTCTTGCATCTTTCCCCTTGCCTCCCTTCTGACCTTGACCCATATCTTCTAGGATGGCGGCCGGTATGGTTCCAGTGACTAGACCATCGGGAAACAGTTTATACGCCACCTTCAGGCCTGAGATGATTAAATAACATATTGTTAAATGATTAAACAAACCACAGGCGAAATGATGTAGTATATTTGTGCATTAAGTTTAAGAGAATTTAACATAAAGCAGGAATTCAAAGAACTGCCAGATGAATGTTTATCTTTGAAAGGACTGGACAGGGGAATTTGAAATATTGACAATAAACATAGGAATAAAACATATTTAAAACCAAGTCTTTGTACAAAAGCAAAAAGCATGTTTCTATAAAAATCTATAAAAAATTTAATACAAGACCAAGCATGTACTCCAAACTCCTGTCCTGAAACGAATAGATGAGAAATGCCATAAACTCGTCAGAACCGCATCGTTTGACAGGTACACATAGTTTATCATTCTTGGTTTTGCAATGGAAGAAAATCTAAATTTCACAATAACTCCAAAAAACATTCTTCAAATGAGTGAAGCCAACGTTTTTTCCTCACTGTGCAGTGAGCCTGATCAGCACATCACTGTTACTTTGTGTACAGGACTCTTCATGAACGTCTCCCAGAGCATTAACTTTACAAAGAAAAATGAGACCAAAAATGTTCAAAAAGAATACACTGCTCACCTCCCGACAGCATGAACAGGTTGTCATAGCCTCGTTCTACCAGCGTGGTCGACGCTCGGTGCGAAATCCTCTCATCTTCATCATAGACTAGAATTATTTTGCCGGGTTGATTTTTCTGATAGCAGACGTCAAGAAATTTTCACACATATAAAACTGACTTCCTCAACATATCCATCATGAAAAGAAAAACCCAGTCCTACTATCTGTGTCCACGGGTAACAAATTTCTGAGTTCAAGAATAGAGAAGTGCATAGACACAATAATGGTCATTAAGAGCACTGAAAGAGCAAGTCAGACAAACAAACAACACATAGTATGCTTTTATATGAAACTGAGCATGCTTCTGAAGCTGATCAAAAGTGTGACTTTTGCTTTACGAATAATTGCAAAATATCACAGATTAACAACAATCTTTTCATACTCCACTGAGTTCTCAATTTCTAGCATTCTCTGCTTGAATATGTGATGTACACTTCTTATGTTAAAGATTCAACAAACAAAAGCGTTGCCTTTCAAAAATGGAAAGTTCGCCCAAGAAAGATAGGGTCAATGTGGCGCACCTGCAACATACCGTAATCTGATATGTGCCCATGAAGGCATAAAACATAATTATTCAATCAAACCAAAGCCAAAGGATACATAGCGGAGCATGTCTTTTGTCTCATAGTTTACAGACCTGGCCAGCATTGCTGTGGGATAGTTTTTGGCTGAAAACAACAAAAAAGTAAATGAAAAGCTAAGATACATATTAGTGATAGTCTGGATATTACTAAAGGATTCAGTAGACAGAAAACAGTGAGTCAGAAAAAGCAGTATACTATTTCAGATATTTTTCACTTTCCCTATCTTGATTTATGTAAAACTACAAACAAAATCAGTCCTACATCCTGAAAGTCATAAAAATATATTAACAAACACACTATACATAATGTATATCTAGATCAGCTGTTCATCAGCCAATGTCACTGGGGGAGATAGAGTCTCAGAGTGGCAGCTGTAGGCAGATAAAACAGAGAGACGTTACATGTCATAGTACTCTCCAGTGACTGAAAAAAGCATAGTTGAACCTGCTCTAACCATATTGACCTATAATAACTGTTCTAGACAATCACCAGTAGAATCAACCACTTCCCACTCCCTTCCCTGCGACTTGTAATATTCTAATGACCCTGTCCAAGACTTCCACCAGTCTTCAACAACTACTTTTCTCCTAAACAATGTGTGGCCGTCTTGGACAATTTTGACTGTACCACAGAACACTCTGACGGCCTTCTGAGGGTGTCTTTAACCATTTGATCCCTAGTCTCAAAAGCAAGCAGGACCAATGCATCTGAGCTCCCTTGGGTCAACTGCTAGATTTACATCACAGCAAGCTGACGAGTACGTCCAAAGCACAGAAGGGTTAAGACACAGCATGCTCAGGACCAGTATCAGGTCCATTAAGTTATCACTGTTGAAGCATCAAGTTAACACTGGTGAAGCATCAAGTTAACACTGGTGAAGTATAATCCAACTAACTTTCCTATTTCATCAACTCGAATCCCCATCTTATAACTCATTTGGCTATTGTCCTGATTTCCATTGCCATGTCCTATGCACTCACCTGTAATAATGTGGCATTCTTCAAAGGCATCCCGATCCCGGACATCCAGAAGAAGATATGGGCAGTTTTCTCCCATCATTGGGGGCAGTTTGGGAGGCTTAGGGGTGTCCAAATCGATCTCCCCTGTGCCCTTGATTACCCTGAAGAATGTAAACAAAAATGTCTAGCTGAATTTTCTTATTTTGAAATGCAGATGTTTTATGACTCTATCTAAACCAGTTAGATAATTAAGACGAAATGAACTGCTTCGACCCAATCTGTCAGGGCTAACCTGAGTGGAGTGGAATACAACACTCTAGCAAAAATAAACACAAGGAGATACTGAGATACTCAATAAATTTACATCCCTAGGTGGGAAATCAAACACAGGTCTTCTGCGTGAAAGAGGGGAGAGCTGAACTACAACATCTTGAAATCTGGTTATGTTACAGTGGGCAAAGAATGACATTTCTTCCACAGGTAGTGTCACGTTTCCTGCCTCCATAATTAATTCAACCAACAAAAGTGAAATGCATCACTTTAATGGGTATTTGGATAGAATGTCTTGAACCACAAGAAGAACACATAATCCTCAAACCCAAGCACTACAAAAAGGTATTGTAGCTCACACAATACATTTTCTTTCAAATGAAAGTGAAGGAACTTCAAACAGTTGCGATGTCATATACCTTTCAAAGTGAGACGAGGCATCTGCTCCAAATATGTACACAGCAAAAACTTTTGAAAATTTCTGCCTTGCAAATGATCTCACTGTGTTCAAATCCACACTAAAGCAGACCAAATAGCTGTAAATCTACTTGAAACCTCTCCGTAGAAGGTAAATATCTAAATAAAGTCTCTTTTTTTAAAAAACAATTTGAAATTATTTTCTTTCATGATGTCATGGCTACCACAATGTTGGCCCCACAGAGAGCAAGGACCCTGGATGTGCATGACGGAGACCTCAAATAGACCTTCAACCAATTTCTATATCTGTAGATAAGACTTACTGCTCGAGGCGGGAGCGGCTTGTGTCCATTTCCGGTGAGAGTCTGCTTGTATCTTCAGACCCTGCCCCATTGGCCTGACCCCCTTTCTGGATCCTGGCAACCTCATCATCAGCTGTGTCTGGTCGATCAGCTGAAAAAGACAAACAACACGTGCAGTTGTGAAGAAATATCATAATTTCTAATCTTTTCATAACAAAACTTGTCAAGAGAGCAAGAAACCAGGAACTATTGACTAATCAACAAAAATAGTAAGATTTGCGCCTGATAACCAACTGAGAGCTATTGAAGAGAACCCAACAAAAAAACTTGTTTAACTCCATATCTCCAGCAAGCCATTCCCAGCGGTACGCGGTTGAGCACATACCTTATCAGTGACACAGATGTTATATTAATTTTCGCAAATGCCAAAAACAGGTCTCCTTTACGGTGCACTTTTCATTAGATAAACAGCTGTCATCATATTTAGTTTTGATTTAATGACCAATTTAGAGACACTTAGGTCACTCTTAGGTTTCATACCAAGAACAGCTCTGCTCCGGCATAGTGGGAAATTCCTGCGGAGATTAAAAGTTTTTAAAGAAAATAAAAACGTCTATGAAAATAAAATATTAGCATCTGCCTCAAACAGATCTTCATCAAAAGAAAAAAAGATTTTTAAAAATAGTTAACTTCAGAAATAGTATCAGAAGGACAAGTCGACTTACAGGCTCCTGTGGGATAACTTGTCTCCTCTGCAACATCCTCAAACTCTGACACTTGCACCACCTGGAACATAGAAATATACATGAGCTTTAAACAATGTCACTAATAAAGACAATAAGGAGGCGACAAATACATTTCCTAAGACATAATTTGAATTGAAATAAAGGCCTCCAACATCTTGCTCTCACTGAAAAAATTAAATAAAAATCATCAAAAGAAGTGGAGGTAGACCCAGAATAAATTACCAAGAGGCCTTCAAAATATGGGCACTGACAAAAACCACATGAATAAATTTAGGTTTTTTGAGAACATCTATACTGAGAAGTGATGGCGATCCCTGATTAGCAATAACAGTTTTAGTTTTGGCATTTGAAGAAGAAAAAGAACACAACTGGAACACAGAATGCAAACATAATTACCCGCAGTATGAACAGCCAAAGGACAAGATAGGACTGGGCTGAGTTCGGAGAAGAGACACAGTGTATTACCTCTATCCATGCCATTCAAAGAAATGGACATATTCACACCCCTTTCAACACAGATTAAGTTTCTTAGGAGACGTACTTATGTTAAAAAGTCAGTCCACAACAGGTCAGAAATGGTATCAGTCGACCATGAAAATAGACTGCACATCTCTTACCTAAAAACTTAGTTAACAATTGTTAAAACAGTAGGTTTTCATCCACAAATTACAAGCAGACTACCCAAAAAGAGCAAATTACAAACACCAAGTTGCGGTACAAAGAAGGATAACACTTAGAAATCATGACACTTCCAAAACATTTCATAGGAATGTCGGGTTTTTTTCTCTTTATTTCAGACATTTTCAACAGAATACAGCCTTTTTTTGTGTTTAATTTACATCCTTTTGTTTGCAAATGTAACTTTGTAAATTTTCACATATTACCAAAAAATCCCAGAGCATCCCTAATTTCAGATTTTATTGAGACAAAATACCTATTTATCCAAAATGAAGTTCTTGACGATTAAAGAATAATCTTTCAAGAGAAAGTTTTTGTTCCAAATTAAAGACCTCTGTACTCACCAACTGAACAAAAGTTGGAATCTTCATTCTTTTGAAGATTTCATCTTTTCGGAAGTTGTAGTCTGAAAAGGAGTAAAAATATTCATTAACCAAATGCTTAAAGTATGGAAAATCACTTTTTAATTCTCAAATTGAAAGGATTTATGCATTCATGCATTCAATGATGTTCTTGAATGCATTGAAATTTCATAAATTGAGGGGCAAAAAACACTGTACCATTATGATATGAGCGAAGTGCGCCATTCACACGAAAAGACGATTTCAGAAAAGGAAGGCAAAATCATTCTAATTTTTTAGGTCACAAAATTACTGAATTCATTCAAAACAATCCTATTCCATATTCAACACTGAGACTCAAACCACGCCTCAAACATTTTGACGAGAACATTTTTTATTTTCGTCGCAGGCATCAGTACCACCGCAACATCCATAACCAGTATCATAACATGTACACAACAATCTACAGGACGACAAATATATCGGCAGAATCGAAACTGAATCTAGGTATGAAGAACGTACTTCTTGCGTAGGTCCATAAGATCTGCTCCAGTGTGTATTTCTCCGGCTTGAACAGTTTCGGTCTGATCTTCTTCACTTTCTTACCAAATACAGTAGAAGTGAAGGTTGGGCCTGACCCTTTACGAGGCATCGTGACAGTTATGACAGACACAGTCTTCACAATCCTTCAGCGACACAGAAATAGTCCCGATGTCCGCTAGAAACACACAGCTAACGTTAAAAGCTACTCCAAAGTCCAGCAAAACAGCCCATTCTGCTTTTGTTAATGAGCACAGATTGTAAGAATTCACCAATCTCTCCAGCTAAACCACTCTTCAAGACATGATTAAGAACAGTGAGATTCCTCCTTCACCACTGAAGACATCGTGATGATGTTGCTCTGGCAACAACAGGGGTGTCTCGGTTGAGCGGCAAGACGTCGGACTAGCAATTGAAAGGTGGTGAGTTCAATTCCCGTCCACGTCGGGTAAAAAAAGTATCTTTCAGTGAAATCCTTAAATCCTATTTTCCTCAAACCACCCAGCTGCAGATGGTTACGTGGCGATCGGCAGAGACGAAATGCGTAACTGGCAGCGGCTTGCGTTTAACAGGCTGCAAAGCTGTATTTCCTCGCAGGGACCAATTTGGTACTTTGAAAAGAATATGCCAACCAATAAAGTCATCGAGAAGTCGAGGGCGCCTTCGTGGGATACAAAGTCGCACAGATAATCACTTTAACGCAAACCTTTTAATACCTTTAATAATAAGTATCAAAGAGAAACTTAATTCTCTTCACTGCCACTTGAGATCACTGAAGCAACCACAGCATTGCCTCAATACACAATTAAAAAACGGTCTCCGCTTAATATACGACTGCTGGGTAGTAGCTACTGTTTACAGTGCAGTAGCAGCAGCACAAAGAGCCAGTGGTCCCTTACGTTTGACGTGAGTCAATAAATCAGCGCTCTGATTCTGATCAGACCCGACCGGGGTCCTATTCACCAGGTGGAGAAATGAACAACCAGCAATGAATAACCCGATTCCGGTAACGAGAGGCACTGGGCTGATAGTAGTGGACACACATACACACACACACACACACACACACACACACACACACACACACACACACACACACACACACACACACGATCAAGGCCAGCGGCAATACGCGTACGTGTGCCGCGTAGAAATCAAGAATATAGGTCTACTTTATTGGAAAATCACGGGTAGCCTTCATAATATGGAGTGCTGTAATTCATTCAAAATAAATCAAGGTACGACAATTATTCGGCATGAAAAAGCTGTCAGCTACTTTACATGACAATGCACCAAACCAATAATTTCTAGGCAAAAAGATCAAAGAGGTGAATAATACCCCCCCCCCCCCTCGTATTTTCGGAAGCTTACACAAATATGTTCCACCAATATCTCTAAGATCAGGATTACAGTTCCTTATAAGAGCACCCAGGAACGGGGGTCAAAAGCTGGCAGGAAGATCCTTTTCCCACCAAGTTCCATCTCTCTCTCTCTCTCTCTCTCTCTCTCTCTCTCTCTCTCTCTCTCTCTCTCTCTCTCTTTCCCTCTCCCTCTCCCTCTCTCTCTCTCTCTCTCTCTCTCTCTCTTTCTCTCATACACACACACACACACACAACATTTGAGAGATACAGAGTTGGCTACAACATTTTTATTTCTTTATAAAACATACTATCATACGAAACGTTATCTTGAAAGTAGCCCTTCTTATTCAATATTCATTCTCCTATTTTCATAATGTGATCTTCATATTATTGTTATATTATCGATTGCACTATGTCTTGGCGTTAACCTTAAGAACATGTGTACGCATGTTCAGCCCCACTCGTTTATAGTACTAAGATGGACGCATTGAAAATGACGCATTGAAAAGCGCCCAGAGGTGCACTGTACGGGAGTGGGCATTATACAGTTATTATCATTGTTATTATTATTATCATCAACATCATCATCATCATTATTATAATTCTTCTTCTTCAGATTATTATTATTATTATTATTATTATTATTATTATTATTATTATTATTATTATTATTATCATTATCATCATTATCACCATTATAATTTTTCTTCTTCTTCTTCTTCTTCTGATTACTATTATTATTATTATTATTATTATTATTATTATTATTATTATTATAATTATTACACAGGGGATTCAGCCGGACAGACCGTGTAAAAAGCATTTATTTTACAGCAGCTGTCCTTTCTTGCAAACTTCCGTTTACGTAGTTTAACTAAATGTTTATTTTTCCAGTCCATGGGTATGTGTTCAATGACAAACTTTTGGATTAAAACACCAATGCCCTTTTATTCTGATTATAAAATAATATGATGTCAGTCCGTCTCAAGCAAAGTTGCTGCTCGAAACTTTCATTTCAATTAATAAATTTCGACTCAAATATGCACAACAATATAGCGTGAATTCCTATGTCTGAACCAAGAAGAAGTTTACAGTAATCTGACACAAAGCAAAGACGGCTGTACTAATCCCTTCACGAAGAAAGGATTGCTACCTCCAACGGGATTAGCCACTGACCCGCGATTTCTTATAAAAGAACAGTTAGAACCATATACCACTTGGCACTATTTACGATCAAAGACTACCACTCGGAACAAACACCAGACCCGGCAATTTCTCCACCCTACGTCCATGATTAACTTACACGAGAATACTTCAGTTCTCTTCAAGGGTGCTTCAATATACTTAGAAAATAATCAATACGGAAATCTGACCCAAACATTCCCAAACTTTCCAATCCACTTTAACCTGAAAAGCAAAATGTTTATGCTCTTACCCCCCCCCCCCCCCCCCGGCCGCCTTAAAAAGCGAAAAAAAAATCTTAAGGGAAATAATGGCATGCAGCTCAAATCGTAGAGATAGGCTCTGGTCTAAAGGTTTTTTAGAAACTTTACAATTCTGACTTAAAACAGCAATCACAGACATTCTTTTTTATCTTTAATGATCAGGTGTTTTTACGCACCCCCACTGACACAATTTAGACCATGTAGGAGGCAGGCTTGCGATCCTGTCTGTCAGGGCCAACCCGGGGGCTGAGAGGGACACAAAACTCTAGAAAAAAGACCGAGACACTCAATAAAAATTTGTCTCCACTCGGGAATCGAACTCTGGTCTCCTGCGTGCGACAGCAAAGCGCCTAACCACACATCACAGACGCCCGTCGAATTATGTAGTGCTGAACAGTCTCAACATGTGTAAATAAATTTATACGGTTTACGGGGCAATAATTCAGGGCGCCTCGTTGGTTCAGTTGGTATCGTGCTGTACCATGAAGCGTATGGGCCTGGTTCGAATCCCCAACATAGCTTTCTCTCTAACTCAGGTCGTTTTGAGGAGTTTTCGAGGCTCTCTGCCCAAATGAATATCTTATCGGAGATTGACGTTAAATTCGGAGGTCTCGCCTCAAGTAGCCTGGAGTGGAAGGGGCGTTAAAATCGTACACTTACTTTACTTACAGCAACGCCAGAAACACTACGCCATTAGACAGGAGGACTGCAGCATCTCCAGTGAGATACGATGAGACAGAGGAAGGTTTAAATAGTTAGTTTTTGTAGAGGTTTTACGGCATTCGCAACTGCATACGGGGTGGATGTCAACAGAGAAGTACTTACAGGGAATTTAGTAAGAGTTTTTTAGTTTTAGTAGAGGTTTTACGTTACTCGCAACTGCATACGGTCATATGAGCCCCAGAAGATTAGAGGTATTGTAAGAGAGTAACAAACATAAAAAAGAAGAAAGGGGGATAAGGAAGTAGATATTTCATAGGAAAGAAGAAGCAAACCACACCAGAGCACCCGCCAACCACCCAAAGGCTTACTCTGCTCACCTCTCTAGCTTCAACAGCACAAAGTCTGCTTCGACTATCATGGCACCCCGAAATAGCGGGTCACAAGAAAATGACAAACAGGCAAAAGAAGTAGAGGGGGAAAAATGAAGATAGTAAGGATTAGGAAAGAAAAAGCAGCAGTTTCTTGTTGCAGTTCAGACACAGCTATGAGCATTGCATTGATGAATCAACCCATTTACAATTCTACTGCGCATAAGAACATGTTAATGTCTCCCCTTTGGGAATGGCCAAAAGACACTTCAGTCAGCAGCACCGCCCGGGGGGGGGGGGGGGGGGGGGGGGTAGAAGGTTTAATTAGCTGGCGGGGAAGACGCAAAATAAGATTACATGATACCCCGAAGTGTAACCTCACAGGGAGATGTACCTAACCACGATAACATGAAACCTTTGTTGTGAATATATTATCTTCTTGGGAGTCGGTAACTTCGAGAGTAACAGCTGCCTCTGAAGAGGAAAGACGACGGCGTCTTCATGCCGTAATAGAAAGACACCACACTACCCTCTGCTTTAGTTTTAGTAAGAGTTTTACTGTACTTGCAACACAATAAGGCAAGGACATAAAAGTGCCGAAGATTAGAGGTGTTACAAGAGAGTAACAAACACAAAAAGAAGGAGGGGAGATAAGGACTATAGATGTTTTGATAGGAAAGAAGGAGCAAACCACATCAGAGCACCCGCCAACCACACAGCATCATCTACTTCAATTGTTTCAGTAGTAAAGAGAAGAACATCGACACGATAACGGCCATTCGGTGCTGGGAAATAGTAAAGGACACCAATATTCTCCTCCTGGTGAAAATAACTTACCCGTTATTCTCACCTCCACCTCGGAGTGGGCATGTTTCCTCATGTAGATCTAGGCCAACTACTGATTACCGCTGCCATAGACAGCCTTATTTTAAAAAACAATCAAATAGCCTTCTTAAAATTAGGCTATAATAGTGAGTATCTGTAGATCTAGGTATCAAATGCGTTCTGCTCTTGACATTTCGTTCTTGCATATAACTATAACCATAGATCTAGAGTAGCCTTTTTTTTCACATTTGTTTGCTGTTCATGGTGTGAAATGGCCTGCTTACCTAGCCCATTAAATAAACTAAACCTGAAACTTATCTAGGTCTGTACAACTTATAAGTTATTATCTGTGCTGTCCTGTGTGTGTCTGTGCTATAGGCACACCTGAGAGGGGGGGGGGTGAGAATAGCGAGAAACAGGCAGACAGGAACAACAGAACGAAAGAGAAGGACGTATCAGTAGCACCCAAGTAGGTTACAGTTTGTTGTAAGGTCCTTGGTAGCACCTTATCACCACCCGCATGGTATTTTATTTACAGTACAAACTAATGAATCGCCGCTATGACCCCTGGCTATGCGCTTCAAGACTATAAGCTGCAGAGCCACACATATGCTCTCACAGCACAGTACAAACGGCGTCATCATCGGACATGGCGAATTACCACGAATTCCCCACAGAAGTAACTCTTTTTTTTTCGGTAAGTGTTAATGGCGCTCGCAACCGAATAGGATCATGAGCGCAGAGGACACATCAAACATTTTAGTTGGTAAAAAAAAATTGAATTTTGCCAAAGTGGCGGCCGAAGTCTACTCTTATCGATTTAGGACCACCTAGGGATCTTTAACGTGCGCAACTTGCACACGGGACAACGGAAACTTTTCGTCCATGAGAAAGCTAGGTGTAAATCTTTCCTACCATAAGATCAGGAGAGTGGCTGAAAGACAGTAGTAAGAAGGAGCCAAGGATTAGCAGTAGAAAGGCTGCAGACAGAGTCAAGTGCCCAGAGGAAGGAGCAAAGGAGGTGAGGGGGTAGAGGCAGAAAGTGGAGGCGGAAACAGACGACAGAATATTGCTAAACAGCAGGAAAGGAGAAGAAAGGAGACAATTTTAGAGAAGAAAAATTTCGGTCGCTATCCCGATTCGAACGTGGAACCTATTGAATGAGAGGCAAAAACCTTAACCTCTGGGCCACGAGAGCCCCCGAAGTAACTTAACAAAAATAATTAATACTCCATATTACCACTGCCATTTCTTAGACAGTTCTCAGGTTTACGAAAATTCACCTTCTTTTTGTTCAGACAAAATTCATAAGACCTTATGCAGTTGCGAACGCCGTAAAACCTCCAGTAAAAAAAAAAGACAAAATCAAAGTTGTTAGAAGGATAAGCTTCAGGTAAAAAGGTATCAAGCAATCATAAAGAAAGGAGGTACCACGCAACCATACAATAGCAAATTATAAAGAACAAGAATTTTCTTAAGCACGACGCCGTCTCTTGTTTCCAAATCGCATCGGCTCAAATATTAGATGATAAAGAAATGTGAACATATTCACAGGTATGGAACAAAAAAGGCCTCTGCAAGCACAAACACAATATTTTTCTAAAAACACATACAAAACAGACTAACGAGGAAGAGTTTATATTTTTTTCATTAATAAAGAAAAGAAACAGCTAGGATTTAAAAAAAGAGCAGTGGAGTAGTTCGTTTGAATATGCATATGATTATATTACATACAAATCCATATAAATATATAAGTATATGATAATAAATAAGGAGTGATGGGAGAAAGAAGGAAGGAGGCAAAGAGTGAGAGATGGATAGAGAGATCGATATATATATATACAGAGAGAGAAAGAGAGAGAGACAGAGAGAGAGACAGAGAGAGAGAGAGAGAGAGAGAGAGGGGGGTGGAGAGAGGAGAGGAATAAAGATATATATAGAAACAAAGATAGGGAGTGAGAGTCGGAGAAAAAAAAAGGGAGAAGCAAAGGGGAATTAGGAAAAGGAAACAGGAAAAGAGACAGAAAGACAGACAGAAAGATAGAAAGATAGATAGATAGATAGATAGATAGATAGATAGATAGATAGATAGATAGATAGACATACAGACCAAGATAGAGACAAACAGATGGACAGACTTAAAGATGGACAGACGGACAAAGAGACTGAAAGAGTGAAAAAGCAGTAAAGAATAGGTCCTACTGTACCTCTTTTGAGTTCCTCCATTTTCTCCATATATTTGGATACGCTTGCCCCTGGAAAAAGAATTGGAAACTAACTTTATAAAAGAGTCATATTAAGAAAAGAAGTTGTTATCTATGTGGGGAAATGTGGTCCACAACAGAATGTTCAACTGCAAGACCATATTGCTGTTAGACAGAACATGAATTACCCAGAGATGCAAGCAATTATTCAAGTGAAAAACTAAAAAAGCAGCCACCATTATCCCAACAACTAAAGACAATGTGTATAAAGATATTGTATAATAAAAGCCATTGTAAAATATGTTGAAGCCACCAACCCTTTCAAGATAGAACAATCAATGTATATTCAACTGACAAATCGGCTTTTACTTACAGAACTTTCCCCACTACAATGTAAGTAAATGAGAAGCACAAGAGCAGTTAATTTACTGCAAGAAAGAGGAAAGACAGGCAGACAGAAACAACAGAGGAACAGAACAGAAGTAAAGCCTGTTTGTGTCGCCTTCCAATCATCCATATTACTGTTAAGGCTTTGCAATATCATTCATTAGGGGGGGAAAAAGCAACTTTACCTGTGTCAACTGTTGCTCTGACATGCTTGTATTTGGGATTTTCTGGTATTTTCTTCTCCAGTGGCTGGAAAGATAAACAAATTAAGAATTATTGACCAAGTTGGCTCTACCATCACTAAAGCCAAAAATCAAATGAAATACCAGAGTGCACATTACTTGTTTAAAAGCTCCATCCTAAATCTTTAGAAGGCAAAGACAATACTTTAACAAAAACAGCTCTTCAGTTGATGTCATCTTCGTACATACTGCTATATGGTGCTGGTCCTAAAAGTGAAACAGGCGGGTCAATATAAAAAACAGATCTTGTGAAAAAGAAGAAAAATTCACCTTTCTAGTTATGAGCTATTTCATGGCAAAAAGGGCTGAAATGAAAATTTCTTTGTTAACGCATAAGAGGAGTGGGGAAAAGAGATTGGAAGAAACAGATGAGACAAGATATGCAACCTTTGATCAAAGAACGGATCCAAAGTGCTCAGATACACCAGTACACCCAATGGAAACAAACTTACATTTTACAGACACTCCTTCGAGAATGCCACTCATGTTGTGCGCTTTCACCTTAAATGTCATCTCATATTCCCCATCTTCCCTATATTTGGCTATAATTTGTACATTATGATATAAAACCTATTACTTAATTTCACAGCAACATTATTTTTTGTCCAAGGCTACTGCAAAAAAAAATTCCTTTAACTGTATTCTGTTTGCATAGTCTCTCCCCACAGGGGAACTTTGTTCATTTTTGTTGATAACTGTCCAAAATATTCCACATAATATAAGATCAGACAGAACTATAAAGCAAAACAGACCTCTTGTTGTTAGTGACTCTTTAGCCCAACTTAGTCAAATATGCACAAGATCAATATAGAATCAAATCAAGGGACAAAAGAATCAGCAAGGCCACATTAAAACAGGAATCATTCAATGGTTTACCATTACAATAAACAGCAACAATTTTCTTTCTCCCCGAGTCAAAAGAGAATTTCCACCCTTGAAGCTGTGTCCATGCAATGAAAGCATTGTATCCTGTATCTTCAGTGCGTGAGGTGGTGATGGGTAGCAAAAAAGAGTTCTCTAGCGAGTCAATAGTGTCATAACCCGGTGGAATTAGGTTTGATCAGCGTTTTTCACTCAAATCTACACAGAAATGAGCTTTTAAATTAACATAAAAGGTCTTGAGCCAAAAAAAGAACATTCACAAAAATTTTTTTTTTAATTGCTCAGCCGCCAGAAAAAAGTAAATTTCTTTGATTTCAGAATTTTGACTTTGACGAACGCCTGATTTACCATGATGTCTCACATTTACTAAATTGGAAGTTTGCGAGCCTATTTGATCAGGTAGCCATCAATTTGCAGGAAATAAGACGCTCAAAACCTGAAGGGATTAAGATAAGATTTATTGAAACTTGCCTCTCCGATGCCATTTATTATCATTGCCATACCAATATGGAAACATTCTCCACAGTACCTAGTGGCGTCGTTAGTCTTGTGGTAAGGCTGCAAGACTAAAAGCAGGCAAATTCTTGGTTTGAATTTCAGTCTGGACAAGACATCTTTTCCTTGGGAAAGGCACTTTACATAAATTTTCTTCACTTCACCCAAGTAAAAATAGGTACCCAACTAAGACAGTAAGGTTTTGCGTGTTAATGTATGAACCCCTGGAAATGACATCTTGCATCGGATGCTTCCCAGAAGCAAAGAAATTTTGGAGTACTGTGTATAATATAGTACAGCAGAAAGAGCTCATTATCAACAGGGACATGGACCATACAAGTGCAACCGATTATATTTATGTCATGATGGAGTTAAAGGTGAGTCAATTTTTGGGCATATGGAATTATCTGTATCATCTTAAAGATTGTTAATTTGTCTAGCTTTTAATGAAAAAAACAAAAAAACGAACATCTATCTTCTATCTTTAATAGAAGTCGAGGCATTTCCAATGGAAGGAGGTGCAGGTCACCTGGTGTCAGAGGTAAACATAACGAAAAAATAGCTGCTAAAGATTGGTTACTTCCAGAGCTTTAGTGTTCTTGGAAACTGCAAATTAAAATTTGTTGTGACTTCCATATATATTAATGTTTTTAGTAACACCCATACAGAAATGTGTTTTTAAATGGACATTGAGCGCAAAGAAAATCAAAATGATAGAACTGCCCCCTGGGCAAACTGAAACACACACGTACACATGCACAAAATACACACAAATGAAATTTTTAAAAGCAAAAATAAATATTAAACAAAATGTTACTGATTCTACCAGATTGAGAACAAGAAAATTACACCAAAATAGTTAGCTCAGCGCATTTCGATCTTAGCTCTGTCCGAGAGAGTATCGCCATCAATTTATTCTACCCACTGACACATTTTGCTTTTGTTTTGAGACCAATATCTTTTGATCCTTTGATCAGCTTATTGAAAGTTTGATATGGTAATAATAACACCATCTGATTTGATAACAAAGTAAAAAATTGAATCAGCATTGGACATGAACTAGAGACTGCATTAGGTGGATGTACTGACTAGTTTAATAACAATATCATGTATCAATCAAACAAATCTCCGCTATTCCTTATAACAAATAAATTAATCCCACTGAATATATATAGAGCAGTTTCCTTCTTCGCAACAATATACTCCTATATATATATATAAAAATATATATACATATATATAATATATTTAATTCTTATGAAATCAATATCAAAGCACAACAAGAAGATGCCATAGATTATTTCACTGAAAAAAATTATCATCCTTTGAGTGCCAAGTAAGTGGGCTACTCAAAGGAAGAAATTACTTTTGAATATATAGATCTATATATATCAAAATAGTCGAAGAGGTCATTAGGAACGAAATGGCTTTTGTGCATGCCTAGCATTGGTCAGAAAGGCTTTGCAAAGATTTAAAGAAAACAACATTGCCTGCCATCACTCTTCCTACAGGAGTTAGAGGTAAGCCGTACACTGGAGTTCTCTATAACACATACATCCGTACACCCTAGGGTCATATTGTACCCCAGGGTTGTATTCTTCACGTTTTTGTCGTATGGATACGATAGTAAAACACAACGTACAGATAGGGTAAATCCTATTCCGACCATCTCACTAAAACTCTAAATATTTTTGGGGGCAAAAAATTAACATAAATGGCTATTAATAAGAATTATCTTCTTCAAATGACTAACACTGTCTCAACTTTCATTCTTTGCTCTTGATTATATGATACCTAGATTCTAGTCTAGACAGATTTCTCACTTGAATTCAACATGAAAGGAATGATCTGCAACTGCAAGGTAGATTCATGCGAAGGAAGAAAAAGATGCACAATAATATTTATAAATAATATATTTAATGTTTTTCAGATTCTAAAACCATGGGAGATATATATTGACTAGATTCTAGATCCATCATAAATCAAGTGTAATACAATAATAACGTTCTACTTTCTTCAGGACTAATAAGAATTGACGAACTAGAAGAAGCTTCAAAAAGGGTGGCAAAAACAACACGAATCCTCAGACCTGTCCTGATTTATTGACTACTAGATCTAGATCTAGATCTATATATATATTATATTGACAGCCTTTTTCATTCAGTCCCTGGTAGAAGGGAAATGGTAAGTGTAGATAATCAATAATAAGACTTGCTTGATGTTATAGTTAATCGAAGTATTCATGATAGCAATGAAGGCATTCATATGAGACCATGGTACAGCACAGGATCGGAACGAATGGCACTGTATTGTAATTTGTATTGTGTACCATGCAAAATAATTGAATATTTAAAGCCAGTACACTGTGTGGTTTTCTTTGGAAAAAGTAGTAAAATCAAGACCGTTTAGTCAGTTAAAACTTTGAACAAAGTATCCCTTTGTGTACTAGATCTATATAAAAAAGGAGATGAACAATGGGCTTTCGACGACTGGATGGCGATTAATAATCAATACGTCCGTAATCAATAATTTCATGTGTATCAATCAAACAAATAATACTCCACGAAGAATACGATGGCTGGCTCTCGAGATCAACTTGAATGAAGTAGATTCTACCATACTAAACTACTGATTGTTGGTAGGAAAAGGGGGGGGTATCTCAAAACCATAATGATAGAACCTAAATCTTAAGCATAGATTACACAGAATGGATGGGAATTTCACTGAAAACCATATTACATGAACTCACATTTGTCGATTTCTTGCCGCGGGCAGACATCTTGCTTGTTGATAGTTACCTAGCAGGAATGCTAGAATAGAGTTATCGCCCATAAATTTTTAAACGTGTTTGAACTTGGGAGAAAAGGGTGGCGAGAAAGTTATCCAAATTATTATTGTCCAGGATAATATTCTCTTTTTTTTCTTTCATTTTAGTGTGCAGCCTTTTCTTCTTTCTCAATTTTGCTTTACTTTTCATCTCCCGCTCCTAGTTTTCTTTTCTTTTTAGATTCTTCTTTCTATATAATGCAAACTCCCCATCTTACAGTCGCTTTGTTTATTTCTCAAGCCTGTCTGCCATGTTTGTATGAACGCGTATGTCAGTCTCGTGTGTGTGTTTGTATGTGTGTGAGTGTGTTTTTGTGTGTGTGTTTATGTGTGAGTATGTTTGTGTGTGTATGTATGTATGTGTGTTTATGTGTTTGTATGTGTGTAGTGGTCTTATTATAGGCCCTATATATACATATTATGTACGTAGACCTATATATAGATTAGCATATTATTGTATAGGCTTAATGATATATTATA